TACAAGAAGGAAGAAAGGGGGAGAAAGCGAGCCACCAGGTCTGAGACTTGAACCGTGGTCAGCCATGTGGGAGTTTCCTATGCCTTAACCACCACGCCACCTGCTGGTCCCTTACGTACTTTTTTCTGTAGAGGTTTTTGCCATAGGGCACGTGAGCTTGCTGTGAGCTTGCCAGAGAGAGAAAGACAGAGAGAGACAGAGACAGTGGAGAGAAAGCAAGAGATCACCCCAGGGGGAATGGCCACGCCACAGCCACCATCCCTTCCTCTGCTCTCCTCCCTAGATCTTGGACACGCACGCACATGCGCCCAGAGTCACTTACTTTATTTTTCCCCCTATTTTTAAAATTATTTATTTATTTACTTTAATTTGACCATAGAGGGACAGAGTGAGAAAGAATGAAAGAAAGTAGACAGGTCCAGGACTCGAACCTTAGTCGGCCATGTGGGAGTTCAGTGCCCTTCACCACCACGCCACCTGCCAGCCCCGCAGGACATGAACGGCAGTCAGGTATCTGTGAGTCCAGTGATGTAACTGCTCTGTTATTTGCTCGCCCCAATTTACGTACTTTTATTTGTTATTATATCTTTTAAAATTTTGCTATAAGGTGCATGCACTCACCAGGGAGAGAAAGAGAGGGAAAGTGAGAAAGAAAGCAAACCACCAGGTCTGGGATTCAAACCACAGTTGCCCACGTGGGAGTCCAGAGCCTTAACCACCACACCACCTGCTGCCCTCATCACTGTGTCACAGTGCCCTTGCCTCAGCCTCCTCAGTAGCTGGAATCAGGTGTAAGCCACCGCAGGGGGACGGCGCCCAGGGCCCAGTGCAGCTCCATGACCTGCAGCCAGGGAGGGGAAGTTCTCCAGACCCCAGACCCCAGACCCAGGGGCCTGAGGGCTTGGTGCTCAGCCATTCTGCCTGGAACTGCGGCACCGGGTGAGGGAGAGGAGGCTGGGCTGGGGCCCGCACGGGGCAGGGTTGGGACAGCTGGGTGCCACACAGCGGGTCTCGGTCGGAGTCCAGACCCGATGGCTTGAAAACTCATACTGGGCATGTGTACGCGCATCCCCACAATCCTGAGAGGAGAACAGAGAAGGGTCATGGCCGTCCCCCACGCTGGTTCCTCGCCTCCCCTCTGTCTCACTCCTCTCTGGAGAGCGCACGCTCCATGGAGACCTGAAGAGCCAGGCTTTGGTGATGGGCTGGGCTCCAGTCCCGGCCTCGGCCTCACTGTGCCGCTGGCCTAGCAGCCCCTTAGCCTCCCTGAGCACGGGGCCTGGCAGGGCAGGGGTTGCGAAGCGCAGATAGCACTGGCGTGCACACACGCCGAGAGCTCATGGCCTCCCCCATCCCGTGCCGTCCTGCCGTGTCCCCATAGTCTCAGAGGACGCTTCCTTTGCTTCTCCCATGGCCGCTTTCTATTTTAGGAAGTCAGCCCTGCGAGGGGAACTGGCCTGTGGGAGCAGCATGCAAATGCAGAATGGCTCCAAGCCCCAGCCCTGGGGCTGTCCCAGCCCGGCCCTTCCGCTTCCCAGCCCAATGCCTGCCTGCGGTCTCCCCTGCTCTGGCCTCCGCACCCCTGCCTCTGCCCTGGCAGTCGGCCCACAGCACAGGGATGCCCTCGCCCAGCACCACCCTAGTTCCCAGCACTCGCCCAGCAGGGGTGCCCCCTCCTCTGCCTACCC